AAATGCCTTTTATTTTTCCTTTCTCTCCTCTATTTTGTCCAGAAGGTGCTCTAGTATTTGATTTTGCTACTGCTCTTTATTTATAGAGACAGTTCACCCACAAACACAGTAAAACATTTTCTTCTCTAATACGTATCAATAGATTTAATGAAGATAAGAGGTCAGCTGTAGCTCAGTGATTTAACTACAAAGGGTTTCTCAGTGAAAATGTTGAGGATTATCGTGGCTTGTTGTGAGTCACTACAGTTCTCTGAATGTCTCAAACCAAAACCATGATATGAGGAAAATACATTGCATTGTGTTTTAACCTGAATTTTAAAAACCAATACAGAGAGGTTAACTGTATGCATCTGTTGCTTCATTTAACTGATTGTCCACAACTCAACTGCACATAGATCCTTAGGCCAGTGGTTTTTTTAGCATTAATTTCAGTTGGTGCTTTATGGTATTTGCCACAAACATACGTGATTATAACTCGCACACAACTAAGTTTAATTTGACTATCAGTCACGTATCAGAGCAGACACCCAGGTGACAGGAGGGTCTCCTCCTGTACAGCCACACACCAAAGAATTACAGCCTACTGTACAGTATATACTGATCTAATTTCCTTAACTAATACTGTCTGATCTGTGTGCAGCCTCCTGCATTTTAAACAATAGGAAACGTCATGGTAAGAGAATTCTGCGATGCAAAAATAGATAATAAAAAATAATATGAGAAAATTTTAAATATTTAACAGGAGGTTTAAAAATCATTTTCACTGTTTCTGTTGTCTTGGATCAGTTTAGAAGACCTCAGCTTGTTGTGCATAGACTGCACCGATTTAGTACTCTGCTTATCCTACATCAGACAAAGGGAATCTGGATGGCGTCAGACCGAGAACACAGAAGTGCCTGCTAAGGACTTGTTAGCCGAAATAGTCTTTGGTTAAATCTGATGCCGCATGTGTAATAAGTCTATAAATACAAAAAATGTATCATAAATTCATCTGCACCTTGAGCTCAAAATAATGTGGTGGGATTTAAAATGATTTCATCTCACATACTGAGTTAACTTCTGCTTAATGCAGCTTGTTATCAGATATGAAGCGCCTCATTTTCTGCTGGCATGTAACTCACTGATTCATTGTGCAAGCTGCTGCTTTCCCACAATGTGGAGCTGTTGGGTTGTTTTCAGATCAGCTCTTCATCTGCCAACCTCTGCCATCTGTAGGGAAGGAAAGTAAGCAGCAGCAGAAGTTTGGACCTGGAGATCTAGACACACTGATCAACATCTGCAGCTCTATCCAGCCACTGGTGTTGTGTTCTCTTGCCAACAAGTAGCACAGTAACTGCAGCTGAATGGTACTGCCTGGGTTTGTTCTGGATCAGACGCTGTTATGAATCTACACAAATATTTATGCATGTAACCTAACATGTGTCTCTTGCTGCTTGTTCCTGACTGAGCTGCTCCCTCCTGTGGTTGGCTAGGGATCATGCAGTGTTCCTCTGATTGCTGACTTAGTCCTGAGAGAGAGAGAGAGATGAGACAGTGGAAGATTGTTCCTTGGCAATCTGACAGAGTGGGAAGAGCTGCTCTCTAAGCACGAGGCTCCAGCCTGTGTGACAGCTCGAACAGAATCTGCTGATTGTCGATAATATGAAGATAATCAATGTAGGCTCGCACTTCAGGGCTGCTCTTCTGGGCGATGCCATTTCCTGGAAGAAAAGGAAATTTTACTCCCAAGTTAAAATGGCAGCTTCCAGGACTGCATTACAAATTGTTTTAAATGAGCTTCTCTTGGTGACGGCATTTCATTCATGACATGCTGAAAAATATCACATCAAATGCTGCAAAAAGACTTAACACAAATTTTTCTCATCTTTAGATCAAATCCATGTAACTTCCTACTTATTCAACCATTTAAAGCATTGAAAAAGTAAAATGACGGGTTACATTACACTGATCATTATTAAACCAATTTAAATTATAAGTTTGATGAAAAAGAATACATTTAACAGATGTTGTTAAATGTACATAGATTAGTGATATTTTAGTTTATTTTTATTGCCATTACCTCAATGATTATAGGTACACCACAAGTACAAAGAAAACTTAATAGCATTTGTTATCTCGCACCATTAAAATGAGGAAAGAGTTTTTTTTGGATGAGCCGCACTGTGTCTGCAATCATGTGCTGCAAGTCAAGATGGACACAGGCTTCATTAAACATTTAAAATTCTGTCTGTGCAGAAGCATATAATGCTGTACAAAACCAGACAAACTCACCAGTTTTTCAAAATTGACCAGGTTATCATGAAACGTCTTGTTGCCTTCATGAATGAATGTGATATCTAAAAGCATGGGGATATTTTGTTAGTATTCACCAACAGGTATTTGAGGTACAATGTTAGTTTGTTTCTATGTACTGGACATGTCAAATCTGCCTGATAGAGTCAGACTAGTTGTGGGGCACTGAACTGACACACTGATTTCACCTTTCAGTAGCAGAGGAAGAAAGGGGATCTTTGGCGCCTTCATTTTCCTGAAAGAGTCCCTGTAGGCCTTGTGGTTTAGCGAGGGATCCTGTGAAGACATTTTCAAAGCAAACCAGTCAATTCCTCTGGGGAAGATATGTGCGCCTGTGCATGCACGCGTTGTTAGAGCTGCATTATGGTGTTATCTAAAAAACCAAATGTTTTGCTTGATGTTTAGAAATGAAAAACATTTGTTTTGTTTCATATGTTTGTATTCTCTGTTACAATGTGAATTCATGTGTCACCACCACCCCAAAGAAAAGTACTGTATATGGGTTATAGAATACCATTCAGGGACTACACTTACTGTAATTGTCTCCAGCTGAGAAAACAGCTTCTTGAATTTCCCAGGAATTTTCTGCAGAGGTAAAAACAGGGTCACAGGCTATACTACACATTTAATAGCACAGAAAATAATTCCTGCCTGTATGAGAGCGAGCACATCCCTACCTCCCATGTCTGACTGAGGCGGCTAACAGCTGCAGTATTCAGGCCCATAATAATAGCAAAGAAGCAGTTGAGGTTCCTCTGTGCTTTACAGCTACAAAACAAGCACAGGAGCACACAAAATCAGCCGTTTCCA